TATATATAGTATGCTGCCCTATACGCCAGATGGCGTAATGGGTAGTAAGTAAGTAATATGTATATAGTATAACACGGATAGGTCGAATTTCGGGACCGGCCTCGGTAGTCCGATGGATCGGTAGTTTGAGGGATATCTTATCAAGATAAAGAAGTAGGGAAAAAAACCAACAACCCAGGACCACAGGTGCAGTTCGACGGAAGCGTGATTTCCTGTCTTCTGTGTTCGACGTATCCGTGTTATATTGTATACAATACTGGGTACAGGTATAATATTATGGTTTTACTGCATATTATTATTCTCCAGTTTCAATCTACCAGAAAAAGTGTCCACTTGAGGCAAATTGCTATCTTAGAATTACAAAGTTCAATCTCACATTTTTGGCCGTTTTGAGATACTAAGACCATGATGTCAAAAACCAAATGTTCTACCTGCTCTATCAAAATCGTAAGATTATTCGGAGTCGTTATCAAGATATTCAAAAAACTGCATTCGAAAAAGTTTGACATGCTGTGAAGCTCACAAATGTATGACGTCAAATATCTGAAAACTAGGTACTGAGCAGATAGAACTTTGTAAGTCTGAGGTTGCGAAATGTCAGCCCAGTGTCCCTCCAAGCGGCCTGTGACAATGTATGACACTCACAGACGATTTGACGAGAAACAAGGACACACACCACAACTGGCCGTCACAATAAATGGCCTCCATGATGATAATTCAGCAGCTCTCGTAGTAATTGCATTTCAGGAGAACTAACATGCAGTAGTCCGTTGTCCTTTTCAAAAGCAATAATAACAGTCTTATCCACAACAGTTTTAAAGTAACAATCACAAACATTGGGTTACGTTATTTCTATTTTAGGAATGTTGCTAGGGTCAATGAACCCGTGTCGGACCCGTGTTTTGTATCTGGCAACCCCGGCGCCGTTCTGTTTGTGAGAGGGAGGGCTTGGAGTCGTCGATGTCTCATCCTCCGATGTGTCGGGGTTGTATTCCTTCACGAGGGTTGACTTCACGTTCGGTTGACTGTTCGAACGTTCGAGAACGAGAGACTTCTTGACAAGGTTGATGGGTGGTAGAGGCGAGGCTCGAGTGGGCTGCACCGACATGATCTCGTGCGGGGAGGCCGAGGCAGGAGAGTGGGTGCTGAACTCGTTTTGGAGCCCTTTCGATTCTTCTCGTCGCTCGATGGGAAAAATCTGCCTGTCTCTGGGGGCGGCGGGGTCAAGGCTGAACTCGGCTTGACTTCCGGTGAAGAGGTCAACTCTGGTGAGGTCAGTCTCGCTGCTGTTGTCCGAGATGCTGTAGCAGGCACTGTCTTTTTTGCTGGACGGTTTCACGGAGCTGGGCAGTGCGTCCTTTGTTTTGACATCCGGGCTCTCTCGGTCCTCGAAGGAGTTCATTGTGATCGTGATCTCAGGTCTCATTTCAGGTCTCATTTCCGGTCTGCCCTCCTGTCTCATCTCATCTCTCGTCTCAGGTCTGATCTCAGGCCCTCTTGGTTTGGAGTACAGAACAAAGGAGTCAGTTTCACTGGATCCGAACCCAGTCTCGCCTAGGTCCCGACTTCCACCGCCCACACTTTGAGCAGTGCCCTGGGCCACACTTCCGTTGTCGACCGTCGCTTTCCGCCTCTTGGCCGAGCTCTTCCCCGCGTTCTTCCTCGACTCCTTGATGACGGCACTCACACTACGCGGGGGGCGGCTCAGCACCAGGTCCCCCACACCCACACCAGCCTCATCAACATCGCTAGGCTGCGAGAGTTGTTGCTGCTGATGCTGTTGCTGTTGCTGTTGCTGCTGCTGCTGATGCTGATGATATTGTTCATCATCATCCTCATCCAGACGCTGGTGGTCGTGGTGATGGTGGTGGTGGTGGTTGAGGTGACGACGATGGTAGTTATTGTGGTGTGGTTGATGAGGCTGTGTGTCGTGTTGCGGATGTTGTGGATGCTCCAAGGGTTGTGTGAGACTGTCTTCGTTGTCGGAGCTGTTGGGCGTTTGCTGCACGGTGATGTCGCTCACTGTGATAGACGTTTTGCGCAGGGCGCTGAACATACTGTCTCCGACTTGCAGACGGTAGAGCGAGGGCGAGGGAGGCTGGCAGCCCTCTTCCACTTTCCTCAGTAGACTGGGGGGGGAGAGATAGAGAGAGATAGAGAGAGAGATAGAGAGAGAGATAGAGAGAGATAGAGAGAGATAGAGAGAGATAGAGAGAGAGACGAACACACACACACAAACATACACACACACATAGTAATACACACGTATATACACAAACTCACATACTTCTACACACGCTATCTACTTTAAAAAATATATTATGTATGCGCTTACGTCCAC